TTAAAGGGTTAAGTTGTGTATGCTCTGAATTTTTGTAAACATATTACAGTATGTATATTATTGTTTTCTTAATATAAGTTCAAATATTTTACTATTATTTATTAAGAGTTGTGTTTTAAAGTCAATGTAGTATCTCTGACTCATATCCGGGTCGGGTATGGGTTGGGGGTGTTACAATAGGTCTACATAATTTGTCGACACTTTTAAATGATGTGTCGATACTTTTTGCCAGAATGAATGCCCAAAAGGGTGAACTCAGAAAGTGTCGATACATTTATAAAAAGTATCGATCCCAAAAACATCGAAACCGATAATTATAATGTAATAGGTAAATTTACAATGTAACCGGTATAAATGTATCGGTTTTGTGAGAAAATAGGTGAACATAATTTATCGACACGTTTTAGATTTGTGTCGATACTTATAAATAAAACGTTTTTTCTTCATTCATTATTTATAATGTAACGCTACAAACCCTAAATCGATAAACCCTCTATTAGAAATACCAGCGTTCATAACAGTTACGATCAGTTATTCATGTGGCAAACACTTTTTTCACTTCTTGTGCTCGATAGGTATGTTGTCGAAACCCTAATTTTTAAAAAAAATCTTCGGAAAGAGGGGTTAGGTTTTAAATTTTGCTATTTGTGAATGGTTATAGGTTGCAAGTTCAATTTTTGTTTGCGAAGATGATGACCTTCAAATGGAGCCCTAGCGTATCAATATTGAAGAAAATCGAAAGCGACCAATAAGTATCAATGTATTCAAGTAATTGTTCTCGAAATGGTAATTGGATTAAAATATTTAGTCAAATTTAATTGATTCAAATCTTTACAGTCTTATTGAATGCGAAATGATAAAGGAAACTCATAATCATGTTGATAACATAGCCAATAAAACCCCTTGCAGGGTCTAAATGGTAAGCTAGGAATTGGTAAGGCAAGCTTCATTTGATGGTTTAGGGTTTAGAGCCCTCCAACGTAAGGAGTTCATGATTGAATATTACATTTAATAGTTGTATTCAGTCGTTGAAGAACTGTTCTTAATTTTATATAAGGATAGTTTTATTGGCTATGCAGTCAACATGAGTAACCTGGATAATCCCAGTTACAGAACTGACTCCGGCCATGATTGCGGGAGACTATAGTCTACATATTGTTTGGCATTTATGTGATGATGCAGATGAAATATTAAACGGTCTCGTAAGCCACAATCAAAATAGACTAAGAGAGGAAATTTTGTTAATGTATGGTTAATTTTGTATAAGTTATATACGATTTATAATTTTGTATGTGAATGTAATTATGTATGAGATGAGAAAAACTAGCAATAGGTTGTTATAAATGTTTCTTATACACAATAGGAGTCATATTGATACTTATGATATATGGAGATCGTTGTCATCATGTGCGGGACTGAATGGCCATTCTATTTCGTCTTCGAAAAAATCAGTTGATCTAGGCTGTGTGCTTGTATTCAAATTGATCTTGACTTGAGGACATGTTAGTTTGTTATGTCCCTCACCGTTGCAGTACCCACATCACCTAATTTTCTTCTCGACCTTGTTCTTCAAAACTTCTTTTTGCTTGCGTTGTTTTCGTTGAGGGTCGCGAACGTTGTTTTACTACACTGCTCTGGTTGATTGAATCATTCAAACCAAACGAGTTTTCAAATTCTTGTATTAGTCTTTTCATCTAATCTCTTGCAGTTTTGAAAGACGTGTCTGTCTTTGATGCAATATAGCATAACCTACTTGACGTTGAACGTAGAACATCGAACCTTGCCATTTGTATCACTTCTGGAGGCACATTCAAGTCAACATAACTGGGTGCAGAAGCCTTCGCATCCTTAGTCCACCTACTTTGAATCAAAAGTCCCGGGAAAATATGTGTAATCCAAGTGCTTCAAAATGTGAAGTTGATGGTGACACGGAAGTCCAATGGTCTCGATTTTTTTGCAGGAGTAAATTAGGGTTTTCGTACGAGAATCAAAACTAATTTCAAATGTTGTATTTTGTCAAAATATAATGTTGACATTCATATGATAAGGACTAAATCTCTTCCTCAATCCGGTACAATGTCTCCCGTTGAAGTTCATCTTGGAACGCACAAAAAGATTCGCGGGTAAAAATCTCAGCAGCATGGTTTTCAAGTTCGACCAATTTTGTGATCTGGAAGGACTTCGTCTGGGAACTTAAGTAATCAGCTTTCAACTCGTTCATACGCATTCTATTAATTCCATCTTCAATTGTACGAACAACATCTAAATATGTCTTTATTGTGTTTCAGTGCAATCGCTAGTGAAGCATTCATAGACTCGCACCTTTATGTTGAGCGAATATTGGCAAAGAAATGACCAGTTAGATATGCTTGTGCCCATACATGCTGAGTATTTCCCTTCTCAATCACCCATGGATGCTTTTCGACGTTGAATTCTGAAACAACCGAACGCCATTGAATATCGAATTCCTCAGTTATCCACCAGGAAGCCATGCATTTTGAGAATGCTTTTGTAAATTTTGGGTCACCAATGTTAGCTTGTGCATTGCGAGAAGATGGCAAGAACATAATATGTGCTTAGCATAAGGGATAATAGATTTGATAGCCCTCTGCATTGCCCTATTCCTATCGGTGACAACTGAAAAGGTGATTTATTCATCATGGCTTCTAAAAAATTCTGTAGCACCCACTCGAAAGATTGGAACGTCTCGTCAGCGATTATGACAGTAGCAAACACAATTGTGTTATGGTGATGATTGACACCGACAATAGGCATAATTGGTCGACCATACAAATTATCTTTGTACGTTGTGTCGAACGCAATTACATCACCGAAGCATGTGTAATCTGATCTCGATGTAGAATCCGACCAAATAAGATTATGCAATGCCCCTGATTCTTCTACCAAGTATGTCATAAAAAACCCGAGATCATCATGTTTCTTATAATCAAAGTAAGCAATAAGCGCATTCACATCCCCATCGACGATTTCCTTTGCTTTACCTCTTTGAAGTGCATTGTAGAGGTCTTTATGTGTAAATCCAACATTATGATAGCCCCCTACCTGCTGTGTTAAATAGCTCATTACTTGTGACGTGCCAACACCGACCTCTTTCAATGTTGTTATCTCATCGATAACAGCCTTACTTATAGCTCTATTAGAACGCATAAATGGTGTCATAGCAGGTGTGCACAATGCATTATTATGTTTATGATAAGACTTACTTATAACCCAAGTGATCGTTTGTATTTGTTGTTGTAACTACGACTTTAGCCTTGCATCCTATTCTTGTGACTGGCGTATGAGCACGTTGACGATCAACAATATTGTCTTTTGATACTCGAAACCCTTCTTTGGTACAACAAAATTCTTGTATCTTCAAATTCCATTCCACGTCAAGCCGTGTTGTTCCCTTACGTGCACTAAACCCATATTCCTGTGCGAATCCCTTGTAAAAGTACCAAGTTTGATCACGTGAAGAGTAGAGCTGACCAACCAATCTGTCAGATTCATCAACATTATGTACTTCATGGCATTCCTCGGTTGGCTTAACATTGTCTACATCAGTATGATCCATGGCAAAAATTTTGTTATGCAAGTTCAGTGCAAGTTCAGTGGTCCCAGAGTTAATGGAGATGTAAGTAAAGGTTCACTCATCATGTTTCAGTCATGCTTTCAATAGGATGTGGTATTGGTAGTGGTAGTTAAAGGGTGGGTACAACATTAAATTCGCGTGACATATTTAGGTGTGTACAATAACTACCTAAATATATGTCGATACATTTTCTAAAAGTATCGACCCAAAAAACTTGGAAACCAATAATTATAATGTAATAGGTAAATTAACAATGTACCCGGTATAAAAATATACCGGTTAATTAGAAAACATGTCAACATAATATATCGACTCTTGTGTAATTTGTGTTGATACTTATTGTCCAGAATGAATGCCCAAACGGGGTGCACGTATAAAGTGTCGATACAATTATTAAAAGTATCAATCACAATAAAATCGAAACCGATAATTATAATGTAATATGTAAATTTACAATGTAACCAGTATAAATATATCGGTTTTATGAGAAAATAGGTCATCATAAAATATCGAAACTTATTAAATTTGTGTCGATATATTTTGTCCATAATGAATGCCAGACGGGTGCACTCATAAAGTATCGATACATTTTTAAAAAGTATCGATCCCAAAAACATCGAAACTCATAATTATGATGTAATAGGTAATTTTGTAATATAACCGATATATTTATACCGATTTTATGTGAGAATATGTCTACATAATGTGTCGAAACTTTTTAATGTTGTGTCGATACTTTTTTCCAGAATGAATGCCCAAAAGGGTGAACGCATATATTATCGATACATTTATAAAAAGTATTGATCAAAAAAATATCGAAACCGATAATTATAATGTAATAGGTAAATTTGTAATGTTACCGGTACAAATATACCAGTTTACTTATAAAATAGGTCAATATAAGCGCTACTTATTACATTATATAAGCGCTACCTAATATGTTATTGTACTTGATAATATTTCCGGTTAAATACATATTTTATTATATAAACGCTACCTATTACATTATATAAGCGTTACCTAATATGTTAATGTACTTAATAATATTTCTAGTTAAATAATATAATATAACCGATCTAAATTTTAATCGATTACTTATTTAACCAATCACAACTTATATTAATCGTTTTTTAAACGCCGCATAAATTACTAAAAAATATTCATCGTCATTAATTAACCTTAATTATGCGATAACGATCAATATCTATCCAACGTACCCCTTTATCCGCACCGAATCAAATACTTGTTTAGTTCCCTAGAATACCCTCCCAACGTTTAAATGATCGACCGGTTGAGAGTCGCAGTCATTAAATGGAAATAGAAAGGGTATGATCGTAACATCGACGAGGCGCCATGTTTTTAGCTCCCTGCCCTGCTGGAAAAAAAAAGCTGTAAACAAGTGTTTCTTAAAAATAAAAAAAAGGAAAATTGTCTGAGAAACGGCACTGAAGAAAGCTTTAAGCAAAGGACCTTTTCTCGTCTTCTTTAATGGCAGATCTCTCATTTTACTGACTTGCATTATGAGTTTACGGTCTCGTTTTTTAGTTTGCAGTTGAATAAGTGATCGGAGATGCTGGACGGGATCTTTGGCCGTGGTTTTGCCTCCAAATGGTTTTTATAATCTCTTCGAATTAATGGGCTGTTTCTTTTCTTAATTTTTGGAAAATCAAATTGATGAGAATTTTTTTCTCTTTCTTTTTTCATTTGCAGCAAATCATTGATAAAACTGATAAAGAGTCGGATCGAGGTGATAAGGAGGAAGAAGACTGCGACGCTCAAGTTTTTGAAGAAAGATGTAGCCGATCTGCTCGCTAATGGCCTCGATATTAATGCTTATGGCAGGGTAATTACTTTTTAAATTTGTTATTTCTATTTTTAATCCTTTTAGTCAAGTGTGTTTTTCGTTCTTTCAAAAAAAATTTAAAAAAAAATATAGAATGATAATAGCATTAGCGGAAGACTAAGGTTTCAAGTTTGCTTATGTATTTTTGTTCAGACTTTTTTGAATGTTTGAAAATTGTCAAATTTTGTTTTGAAGTAATATAATTGTAGACGTAAAATTATAAGCGACTATTGTGCTAACTTTTTGCGAGGTTGAAACAGGTGGAAGGATATATTGCTGAATTGGTCCTTTCATCTTGCTACGATTTTGTCGAAGAATGCTGCGATTTCGTGTGGAAGCACGTTTCACTTCTGCAAAAACTAAGGTATGTGAAGCTCTATTGTTTATTCCTTTAGGTAGAATTTATGTTTATATTCATTAAAATGGAGGAGGATGAAAATGAAAAGCAAGAAGTCTGAATAAGATTAGCATTCAACAACGCTGCAAAAGAAACATAATTTTTTTTATTAATTTAAGAAACTAAAAATCATTTTCTCTCTCGCATAAACCGCATAAATATTTTCTTTCCACTTTATACAGTTATATCTTCATCCAATGCACTGAAATGATGGATAAAGTTGTCTACTCTTGTGTTTAATACAATGTTTCTACTACATATTGTGTATTAACATGCGGCTGATGTAGATGGTAATTACAGAGGGAATGTTAAATGCAAGATTTAGTTGTCATTCTTCTTTCTTGATCACTTCCTCATTTTTCCTCTTCTTTTATCATATCAATTGGCTATTGTACTTTTGATGCTCGGTTGGATTCGTTGTTGAATATAGTAACACATTTAAATGTTGCTAATGATAACAAGAAGAAAAAAGTTGCTTATTTTCTTCAATTAATTCGCAGAGATTGCCCTGAAGATTGCAGGGAAGCTGTCTCATCTCTAATGTTTGCTGCTGCAAGATTCTCTGATTTGCCAGAGTTGCGTGATCTTAGGCAAATATTTCATGAAAGATATGGAAATTCCCTGGAATTATTTGTCAATAAACAGGTAATTTTCGTTTATCTGTTTCAAAAAGAGATTAATTTATGGTTGTCTGTGCTTTTCTTTGACCAATGTTATAAAATTTGATGATAGCTTATCGAGAATTCAGCATCAAATTCTTTTGCAATGGAGAAGAAAGTCGAGGTGATACATGATATAGCATCAGAGTTTTCCATAAAATGGGACTCCGATGCTTTCAAGCGAAGAATGTGTAAACCTAATGTGATTCCACAGGTATGCTTCATGTGTTTGATCTTTACTTTTTAGGTATTCTCATTGAGCTTATCCGTACGGTGTCCGCAGAGTGAAACTCTTAATCTTTGGCATTGTAATGCAGGACCAACATAAAAATCATGGCTCTTTCCCTGTCAGTGGTCATAATCATAAATCAAACGGTGGAAGAAGTGCTGATCCACGAGAGGAAAAATTTAAAGTTCCATCTAAAGAAAAACTTGAAGTGAGAAAAGCTGGGCACAGATTGGGAAACTCCAAGGAGGAGGATGCCTCAAAAAGGGATGAGATCGTCCTTCCGCCTAAACAGCAATTAATTGTTGATGAGTATCATCAGCATCATGGTAGGGATCAAGCTACTGCAAGGAAGGAGACTCGAGACACACAGTTACAGCAAAAACAAGAAGTATCTGCTGGTAAGCTTGACTATTTTAACGGGAAGGATGATGTTGCCTTGAAAACAGCAAGATTAAGCAGTTCTTCACATGGGAAAAGAATGGAAAGAGCTGATGATGGAACCAAACTAGAAGATGGTAGGCAGAATGGTATACCTAGAAGATATAATCAAGATGTTCTACCCGAGAGAAAGCCAGAGCAAAGTCCTAGTTATGCAGATCCTTGGTCAAAGAATCGTGACATAGACCAGTCCACTGCTGATAACTATGGTTTTCCAAATTCAGCAAGAAAAACTCAGGAGGAAGACGAACCCAAGTGGAAGTCCCACTTTAATAGTGGCATCCCCCCTCCTTATGTTAAACCCAGTAACAAACTGAAGGATTGCAGGCATGCTGCTGCTGATTTGGGGTCTTCACTTACTGCTTCTGGCTGCAATGGGGTCTCTGCTGATCGAACAACTCATGACAAGAATCCGGTTAATAGGACTGATAAGTACCAAGAAGGGTTATATCGGCCTGATAAAGAGGGTCAGGTAATTCCACCTCCTGCTAGGAATAGTCATGATCGTGATCTTGAGAAGGATTATTACTATAATCATGATGGAAGTGATGCTCCTATACCAAGACGAAGATCATCTAGAAGGCGACATAAATCATCTTCCAGTCATACTGAAGTCGATAATGCCGAAGATGTTGAATCTACAAGGAGTAGAAGACCAAGAAGCAGGAGAAAGGAGGATTCAAGACGAGGGCTGCAACTTTTATTTGATGATGAGCAGCATAAAGATGACGAGGAGGAAAGGATAATTGACAATCTGTTGATACATTACAGTAAGAAGCCACCCTCGGGTGCACAGGGAATGATAAGAAGAAAGTCTAAAAGTCGTCACGCACATCATAGGGGAAGCGATGCGGGTGATTGTGAGGCTCCTCGGAAAGCAAGCAGGGATAGATCCGATGATATGTCGGAGACAGTTTCCCGTCCAGCCAGATCAGTATCTCTCCCTTCTGCACAAACTGATGAATCAGAGGGAACCAAGGTGTATGCTCGTGCTGCCTCCTTTCAGCCTGATAGATCGAACGCGGCTCAGCATGTGCATCCGAAGTTACCAGATTATGATGATTTGGCAGCTCACTTCGCGGCAATGAAAGGCAGATAGAGCTTTTTTTTAAAAACCACACTGAATCATTCCTTTTTTTATCTAATCACCTCGAATGCATTGCGTCAATACTAAAACTTCCTTTATTTTCATATTTTACCTTGTATAATATGGTCAAGGGCATTCTTATACTTTACATCAACTTAAATGATATTTACCTAATAAATATTAGTTATCATTTATGTAATTTATCCTATATTTTAACACTTTCTCTTCTGATATTTCCTGTCATCCACTAGTGGCTGAAGTATTGGTCTTCGACCATGGAACTTTGCAGGTCTTTTAACTGTTTTTAGTCCTTTGTAGCCAGAGAAAAGTCATGATGATGCATCATCAAGTTTATGTTGCAGTTACTGAAATGACCACATTGGCCATCTCAGAAAAGAACCTAAATACTTCATTTACATTCCCAAGGTCCTAAGTCTCACCAAGATTCCCTCCAATCTACTTTGATTAAACTTTAATATTAGTCCTTATATATATCAATTATGGGGGCTTGATTCCACTAAAACAAGGTTATTCCAATTTATTCAATGATTCGGGTTTGAGGTCTTGAGAAAGTAATAACACTAAATATTTGATATTAGAATATTATTGTCTTTATGATAGTACTCATGCTTGATGAAATTAGTTTATACATAGGTTTAAAAAAGTAAATCTATGATTTATGTATAATATAGGGACTAATGAAAGAATTTTTCCATCCAGTTTTCTTGTTTGCATTAAAGGACTCCACTGTTTCCCGCCAAAATAAAGCTTTTATTACCCTTTAATTACTGTCCCTCTTTCACTCCCATCACAATCAAGGAAATAGTGAAAAAAAAGGTAAAAAGAAAACAATGAAGGGGGCATCCAAAGTCATAATGGGTGCAACACTAGTAATGGTGGTCACCCTCGCCGTTGTTTTAGCTCTAATCCTAGTGTTGCTAGCCGAGCTCTACTGCTCTCTCCTACTCCGCCGCCGCCGGAGCCGCAGTCAGCTCAAACACACCACTGCCGACACCACAACGGCCCCTACCACCCCCACCATCACCGAATCAACAACCAGTCCCCTCAGTAGCTTCTATGCACAGGGAGTTCTTCATGCACCTATGGACTTCCTCTTCCCTGCAACTGCAGCACGCCCTGAAAATGTTCAAAAAGATAACAAAATCACTTCTCTTCATCATGTCATCGAACTCCACGGCGGAGAATCGAACACAAGGCCTCATCGGATTGGGATATTGTCTCCCACGTCTCCGTCATCTTCCTTTGCAGCTTCCCCTAACAATGCTGAGGAAATCTCGGTTCAAGCTTGCAGTGGTAATTCAGGTCCCGGGGTGGAGGATTTGGTTTACATATCGAATCCAATGTACGTTAACGATGTTGCGCCGGATACTCCATTTGAGACGCCGGATACATCGCCTTCGCGTTTGGAGAACGGTGGTTCATCGGGAGATGAAGAGAAGGGTTGTTTTGGAATCTATTCACCTCCTCCAATTACACCTCCATTGAGTCCGATGAAGAAGCTTCCGGCACAGGCTTGTTCTATCCCTCTAAGAGATGTCGGGTCTTTAGCTACTTCGGCCAGTGAGTCGAATTGTAATAATGGTCTTTCGTCGTCTTCATCAGGCTCTCCATGTACTTCGCCTTCATGGTGATCTTAATTAGCCTCTCTTCTTTCATAAAAAAAAACCCAAGCGAGACAAGCGTGCCATTGATAACTAAAATTCCTAGGTTTTCTTTTTACTTTGCAGAAATGCTTTGTTTTCATTTGTTTTGTCACTGTGGTTGGGTGTTTTTGCAAAGTTGAACCTTTTCTTTCTGGGTTTGTGTTCTTTTTTTTTTTTTTTTTTTTGGGGGGGGGGGGGACTGACCGATGCATGTGATGGTGCAAACAGACAAACAGCACAAGATGACCAAAAAATCTCTCTGTTTTTGAGGGGCCTCGAATGGTGATTTCCATAAGCATTAAAAGACAGAACACAAACTTGTCACTCTGCAAGGCTTTATCCCCGCATTATATAATATATAACATGTTTTTTTGGTTTCTATAAGCTCTACATAGGCGTAGGGTAAAGAAGCTTCAGTTGTCCGAAACTGACTCAATTTATTAATCATAGATTAGCGCGCACTCATTCATGTAATCACTATATAATAATTTATACACTATTTTTATCAATTTAACTTTATTTTAAAATAATTTAATAAATATAATTATTTACATTTAAATTTATTATTAATTTATTATTTTTTATGTACTATCAAACCAATTAAATTCATGGATCAAAGTAATAATTGGATAATCACATTCTATCATAAAACATCAATAAATTAATGTTAAATTATTATTATACCAAGAAAATAGTATAAACATTATATATAACGTTTATGGGAGAAGATCAAGTAATTTAGGAGAATATATATTAAATTAATAGAACTAAAATCAAATTGACAGAATGTATGAATTTTGTGAACTAAAATTATTATTATTTTATCTAATATTTAACGGTCGATGATCTATTTATAATAATATTTTAATTGATTTACTAAATTATATTGTTTGAAAGAAAAAAGTGAGAGTTTGTTACCGAACACATAGGTGAGTGTATTTGAGCCTATATGTTTTCACGAATCCGCAAGCCTAGGAAATGTGTTGTGTGGGAGTCTTGCGATCTGCTATGCAATCGCATTCCGGTGGGCCGAGAAGGCGCGGCTTTTGCCAACCTCTTGGCTGCGAGAATAAGAAACAAGTTGAGATGATCGAGTATATTTTACCCTTATTTTTATGATTGATGTAAGACAACAACAGAAACAAAGGAAAAAACATATCCGATTCTATCGTCGTCACAGCATGCAAACGCCTCATTCTGTTCAACAAGAAAAAGAGGAATTATTGAGAAGGTGAGGTCCAAATCCCAATTATAGTACCACTCAGCCATCATCTAAATATTCCTGCTATGCAAACCATAAACGTAACCCATCATCCAAATTTAATTTAAATATTTTTAAAACTATTTAATATGAAGAGATCTTATGGGAAAAAAATTTGGAAAACGGCCAAACTAGGCTTAATTGAGATGAACAGAGGGTGAAGCTCCCCAAGAGGAAAGGGATGTGGATGAGGCTGAGCTGTTAGAGATGAATCCGAAACCCATGCTAGTTGTTCACTAATCCATGTGTCCCTTTCCTATTTCGTCATGAAAATGAAGTATCTAATCCTAGAGGGGGTAACTGGTAACTGACACATATCCTATAATCTCATATCTCTAGTATACTAGAGATTGAATGAAAAGACAAAAACATAGATAAAAAAACAAGGCAAAATATACTAGAAGCCATTGAATTATATTTTAATTATATTTTAGACATTAGAATTTCAAAAGCTATAAAATGATCATTAAATTTATGAAACTGTAATAAAATGATTTTTATATTTTTTATGGAGTTATTATGAAATGAATGTTATAAAAGTTAAAACTTTTACACAACCCTAAGAGCGACAAAATTTGAGTTCTTTACCCATCTTGCCCTATATAACTATAGCCTAATCGCTTCACCAAGTTTGCCCCTTCAATTGCCTTGTTTCTCTCTCTTCTATGCTACATGGCTTCCCGTGGAAACATTGCAGTGAGCGCCTCCCCGAAAGGCAGCAACAACGCCTCCGAAGCCGCCAACTCAGGCAGAGGAGGCCAATGTTTGTGCTCACCCACCACTCATCAGGGCTCGTTTCGATGCAAATTTCATCGGTCAACCTCTTCGTCCTGGAAGATGAAGCGATCCCAATCCATGCCCGCTAGTAATAGCTCTGTCACTTCATCTTCTCCCAAGTCTGTTGAATCTACATAAACCTTAAACAGATGTTATGTATATAAGCACATATAGGTGTGTTTTTTGTATTTGATTGGGATGTGATTATTAATGAAACAACTTTCATCAGCAAGAGCTTTGCTTCTCTTGGTTTTTCTTATCTGGTCCGGTAAAGCTCTTTGTATATATGTATGTATCTGTGTAATCGATCATCAAAGTTGAAACAACATGAACTCTTTTATCATCAACACTTGTCTGATTTGATGAAGAAGAAGAATTGATTGCAAATGAATTAGTTTTCTTGAATGGAAAAGACTTTGCTTTATCCAGTAACTGATATGTTGAAATCAAAGGTGATAATAATAGTTATTACTACTATGTATTATAATCTCTTTACCTATCCCCTCCTGGGCTCCAGCTATGGCCTATGAGGATTGTGTTTCTTGGAAAATATCAGTTCAACGTCAGTTTGTGCTTCTTTTTCTCTCTTAAAAGATGAGAGATCTTTATCCACATAAAACTGTGTGGATTTTATTATTGAATTTTTTTCTGGACTGGAACCGGATGGGATTCAGATGGAATTTCAATGGTCTGCAATGGTTTTTGTCATGTTGGAATTTGTGTTTTTTAATGTTAAAATATCAATTTAATAATCGCACGAATAAAACATAAAACCTTTTTTAAGAAAAAAATTAAGATATATAATAATATTAATATTGAAAATACAATAATATAAAATATTTTTAAAAAGATAAATTTTTATCAATCAATATAAAATAAAATAAACTTTTTATCTTCCATTATTTTTTAAATTTTAAATTTTTATTAAATCAAACTCTAACTATTAATAACAAGAAAGAAAGAAAACCAACAGCTTTTGGTTTAGGTATTTGAATTTCCCAGTATGTTCGATGCTAAAAGAGTGGGCCTTTGATGAAGACATTTGAAGAGCATTGCAAACGATTTGAGTTTGACAGATGGTCGCATGCCTTATGTGCTGCTCAATTGAGTCTTCTAATTAAAAATTTTAATTAAGTAATCCATTTGATTTAAGTTGTTTATCAAATTTATTGATATAATAGTTTATAAATGATAATAACTTTTATTAATATGAAAAATTTACACTGATGATTTTATTAACGTAATTATTATATTTATATATTATATCAAAAAAACAATTAAACTTGATAAAGATCAATAAAATATCATATTAAATTTGAAATTGCATGGAAATGGTATATAAATTGTTAGATAGATTGATCGGAAGCAGGGATGAATTTAGAACAAATGTTAAAGCAGGTGACTTTTTAGATAGATTCCATGAAAGCTTTTGCTTTATATCTTGAAAGCTTAAAGTTTAATTATTTCAGCGTCGTTTTGTGCTATTTTGCAAGTGACGCTAAGGGTATGTTTGTTTATTTCAGAATGATTAAGCGTTGAATGATTCAAATGTTGAATGATTCAGAAGCTCTGTATGAATTAACTCTGAATGTGACATGATGTTTGATAATAGCTTTGAATCATTCATAATATACTTCTGTGCTAAATCATTCATCACTGTTTTGTTGAATCAGTCAACACTAAATCATTCAGAGGTGAAAAACAAATGATTCAATTCAGAGCCAAACAAACAACCCCTAATACTGCAAAAATATTTATGTGGCCATTGAATATAGCTTGTGTTAGACGTTGGTCCTTTTTGGTCGTAACTTGCATAAAGACGAAGTAATCAAGATAATTGCACAAGCAGTCACCAAACTATTGCATTTATTTTAAATTTTGTCTCTAAATTTTAAGACATTCCATATGAATCCTTAAACTATGATTCCATTCTATATTAATCTCTAAAGTTTAAAACGTTCTATATTAGTCTAGGCATTGTCATGGTCGGGTTGGAATTTAGACTCATCCGAACCAATCCTAGTATATTTCCCTCCAATCGTTATTGTATCCGACTTAAGTTTAGAGAAGCTACATATGATCCAACATTTTATTTGATTTTTAGGGTAAAAATCTATATTTGATGTGATACAAATATATATATATATATATATATATATATAAGGTAAAATATTGTTATAATTGAAAAGATTATAAAGAGAGGGTTATTATAACAAATATCTCTCAATATATAAAGACAATTATAATAATATTCCGGATGTAATCGGATTGAATTTTTTAACCTCAAATTCAAATATAATCCGACATTTTTCAAAAAAATTGTCCTTAACCTGAATTTTTCAGGGAGGAGGGGAATCTGATATGATCTAAGGGTGCGTTTGGTTCACGAAATGTAAGATTACCAGTGAGAATAAAAGATTACCAGGGAATAGGATTACTGGGAATGTTACATTACTGTGTTTGGCTGGTTTGGCAGGAATGTAAGATTACAGTGTTTTGTTGGAGGAATAAAATATTACTGGAATGTTTATTTTACCAAATTGTCCTTGTTCTATATTTTTTTTTTAATAAGTGAAATCATAAATATTTAAATAAAAAATATTTATATAAAAATTCCATTTGTTGATAATATATTACTTGGTATTTAAATATATCATGTATTATTTTAATTTTAATTAATATAAAATTGTACATAATTTATGTAAAAATATATTAAAATTTTACATCAACATTTAACTAAATGTTTACATTGTGGAAATTCTTCATAGATATTCATAATAATAAAAAGATGTAAATTATTTTTGTTATCTAAGATATAATATTTATTATATCTTCTATATACAATAATTTATTTATTTATCTTTTATATTTATACTTATTTATGCATACTTTATCATTATTATTTATCTCATTAATTTATATTACAAAAACATAATTCAAATAAGTAAGA